CAGTTGGGATCCCTGCCGCCTCCCCCCCCCCCCCATTTTTGCTGATCAAGCGTTTGTTGTGGACCGGGGGCTGTGGTAGTAGGCTTAGGTGCGGACCCGGCCGTGCCAGCCACCTGCGTCCTCACCTGCCTCCGGTCTTCTTGACTTGGTCATGACACCGGGCCCAGGTGGGGGAGGAGAGAGTGCGGTTGGTGCTTCGCAAGTCCACTGCCACTATAAACTAATTCATGCGCGAGCCAACGTCTCTGCTCCCACCTCGCTGTGGGGCGCACGGTGAACATCGTCGAAATGGACGGTCGAGATGTCATGCCGTCGAGTACCCCCAGAACGGACCACGCGGTAGATGCGCTGGACCAGCACAGGGGCTAGATCGAAGTCTGGCAGGAGTTATCGGGGATACGCATCCATATCAGATGCTAGCAGTGGGGTTTGGTTGCACGCCCACTTACCTGTTCGCTCCGTGTCGACTGGGAACCGTGCTGTCCCCTGTTGTTCTATTAAATTCTCTGGTGTCCATCGTGAACCAAGGTGTGTCTAGGTGCGGGTTTACGCAATGTCAGCCACCTGCGTCCTCTCCCACCTACGGTCTTCTTGACACTAAATTAACACCGGATTCAGGTGGGGGAGGGTGAGAGAGAGTGATAGATACACTGCTGGTCAACTATCACTGTAAACTAATTCACACGTAAGTCACCGTCCATGCTTTTATTCTACCGCGGAGTACTCTTGGGACATGGTCGCCAAGAACGGTCAAAATGTCGTTAGCATGATCCCTTGTGAAAGTCAGTAAGTTACCAGAAAATCAAAGCGCTTGTTTTACGTCCAATATTGATATTTTTTCTATTTGGGTGAGACAGCGGTCTCCTGGCCTTGTTTCAGTTACCTGTAGGTTCTTTGGAAATCATTCGTCGCTAACTTTCACGGCATTCTTTCGTCAGTTTGTCCTTTTGTCACGTGGGCATGGCATTTACCGACCAGACTTGCTAGAGAACGGAAAATAGGGGGATTCTGTTTTGTCCTTCAACTCTAGTCCAGACCTCTAGTAGGTGGCTGCTTAACACATCCCATGTTTAGATCTTGCCGGACTCCTTTTTGACCTATGACTGGCTAGCGACAGCAGATTAGCCGAAAAGTCATTTTATTCTCGTCTACAAATGCCGATGACCTTTTCAATCATCCTTCTGTGTTTAGGGGGTGGATATCGAGTTCACTTACGATGGGAAGACATGGCAGGGGCTCTCTTCCAAGTTCCCTAACCTGAAGCCTCGTATTCCGGCAGCGAGTCTTTTGTGGGGTATCGTTACTTTCGAATACAGTCAAAAGGTTGGTTTCAATTCTCCTGTTCCCTCGTTTTTATTGCTTTTGGATTTTGCTCCTTATAAGTTGGAATCCGAGCCTCCCTCGCCCTCCCTTGTTGTGCGCGATGAACCAGGGGTGTTGTGGCACGCCCAGGCGCCAGCTCACGCCACGCTGGCCACCTGCAGCCTCTGCCGCCTCCAGTCT